ATACTCTCAAGGATGTAATAAGTTAACAAACCAAATTAGTATGTAGTGGGGTTTGCGGCTCTTATCATCCACATTAACCTCGGGGCTCTCCAGAGCTAATATCTTAAGTTGTGCTGTTTCTCGCTTGCTGTCTCCAGACCACTAACCTTATTTCTCTGTTTCTCTATAGGAGAATCAAAAACTCTGGTCTTTCCGGATCTCCCTCTGATTTTCATTCTCTTTGGTAGAAGTAAACCCACGGTTTCCAAGGTCAAATGAGCTAAGCCCCTTCCAAGAGAAGCTTACTTCTGACTGGCACAAAAAAAAAGGGGCTACTCTTTTTTAGCAGACCCTGGCACCCGCGTCTTTAAAATACTTCGCCATTGCATTAGGAATGAAAGTTCTTTATGCTCGCCGGGTCCTCAGAAGTAACACATGGAGTAGCAGCGCCACCTACTGGGTTACTCCGCAGCTACATGACTTTTGCTGCAGCCTTTTCTAAGCACCGCCTTGGGTGTTAACCAAAAACCACCCAAAGTGTGCTACTCAGTGAGGAGTGCTGGTGGCTGCATGAGAGTCAGACGCCACATTCATACCCTTCATTTCGGAAGAGAAATAGGAAAGACAAAACTGGAAATAACAAAACGTTTCTGTAAATACCAAATGGCATCTTCTCCAATACCGTGGGTGCTTCTGTTCAACCTGATATGTGTGTGTCGTATTGGGTTATCGGGGGTCTCTTTGCATATTGTCCGCTTCTGTGGCTGTGTCATAGAGACTAGCAATGGTTCACTAAGTGGTTTTTACCTGTCTCGGGAAAAAAAAAATCTGCTTTTAAGTTTTAGGAAAAATGCCTAATAAAATATCGCATCACCGGACTGCGTGGATGGTTGAGCAGTTCAGAGCACATACCGTTCTTTCCGAGGACCTGAGTTCAGTTCCCGGCAGCACTTATGACTCCAGTTTGAGGAAAACCCGATGCGCTGTTCTGATCTCTACAGTGCCTATACTCACATGCTGCACACCCTCAACTAAAAATATTTTAAGAACTTACAATTCCATCACATCACAGCCCATAATGATGGAAATGCCTCGCAACGTAGACGTGCATGTGGCAGAGTAGATAGATGGCTTAATAACTGACTGGACTTGCTTGATGCTGTTGCCAAGGAAACCAAAGTAATAAATGCATAACCCCTCCTTCACCCACCCAAGAGAAAGTTTATATAGTTGCTCTGCCTCCCAGGGAGGAGAACTAATATTTACATATGCAAAGCACCGTTAGGGATATGTGCTATCCCACTGAATTAATAAGCTAGTCAGGGAGAATTGTTCTGAGCCCCGTTCCCAAAGCAAAGGCTCCAGTGATCCGGTTTTTGCCGGAGGGGACAAGCCAGTAAATGATCACCTGGGAGTTCGGATCTCTATCTGTCAAAGTCGTGTGATGTTTCAGCACTGTGCTTGGGTGACTATCTTGGGGACAAGTCCCCCATTGACAAGGAGAGACGCGAAAGGCGTATTAAAGCATGTTCCAAAAGCTTCAACCGTATCTTCAGAAATAACTCCACAGGCCTGCTCCGAGGTTATAAATAGCATCTCCTTCATCAATGACAGGAAAAGAATACATTAGATATCAACCACAGCAAAGACAGTTATAATACACCCTTCCCGGAAGAAAAATCACCGCGCATTTCCAAAACCCACAGTAAGTTCATTCCGCCCTGCCTACCGCTCACTCAGGAGGTGTCATTGTGAAAACCTTGCTCTCTATGTTCTCAAGAGCCCGACGTGACATCTCTGTCTAGATTCGAAGCCAAGTATCTCCTTCTTTTCCTCTTTCCGTTCTCCACCGCCTCTGGTTTCACAGTTTTGCCTAGCGAATCTCAAATTCATGGGCTCACACAGCGCTCATGCCTCCCAGGTAACTGCAATTCTGGACTCAACATACCCTACAGGGTGAAGCTGAAGGTAGTATCGATAAACCCATCTGGTAACCAGAACTGTCCCCCACTACTTTTGGGGTACCAATAGTTAAAGCTTTATCCTCAACAATGCCCAGAGGTCACCAGGCATTTGTCAAGGGTGAAACTTTCCCTTGGCCTTCTAGAGGAGTTAATCCTCTTGATAAATGGTGTGTTGTGGGCATTGATCACTGTGGTCATTGCTTTTCTTATCATAAGACAATGCAAGCAGAACATTGGATGTGGTGACTCGTACCTTCCATCTCAGCCCTTGGAAGGCAGAGGCAGGTGGAGTTCTAAGTTTGAGGCCAGCCTGGTCTACAGAGGACGTTCCAGGACAGGCAAGGCTACACAAATGACCTTTGTCTTGAAACAAAACAAAACAATACAAAAAAATTACGGAAGATTGGGACAAACATAAATACCAGGAGTTCACCCAAATGGACACTTTTCACAATTTGGCGTGTTTCGTGTGTGTGTATACGTGTGCATGAAATTTCCTATGGAGTGGGTACCATTCTGCGGGCCAGAACGGCTTTGACCTCACCTCATTCTCCTATCCCAGCTTCCCCCTAGTGCAGGGATTGCAGGTGTCTACTGCTCCACCTTGCTAGATAGATGACTTTTTCCTATTTGGAATATTCCTAAGAGATAGGCAGATAGACAGACAGATGGATAGACAGACAGAAAGATATATACTCTGTGCATATGTGTATGGATGCCTATTTTGTATTCTAGGTATATATGTGCATATGCCTACACTTACGACATTTGCATATAGTTAGGTAGAAAACTATTTTAACTTTAACAGTAAACTCTCCAGTTCACGTCAAAGAAAGGACAGAACTTGAAAAGCACACTTTGTTAAGTTTAGCCCTAGGAAGTAAATCCTCCCCCCCCCCAATGTCTACCCCCCATCTCTCCCTACCCAATCTGACATTGGAGCTTATGGGAGGGTGGAAAATTACAAAACAGAGGGAAGGATGTGGAGCTGACTGTTAGGAACATTTCCTAACCCAGCCACTCTGCTGACGCAAAATAATCCCAATCAAACCAAATCAGACCAAATTAAAAGATATCCAGGTTTAATTAGACACCTGTGCTCCCTGGTGGCCCCAAGGGCAACGGGAAGCTGCCAACGCTACCACCGGAGAGAAGAAGGAAAAACCATGTTTTTATTTTCTGGGGAGCAGTTTAGACAGCCTGTGGGAGTGGTCTTGACCCTTCCTGAGAAGGGGTCAAGGTTTGGTGGGCTACCTTGACCCTTCTCAGGGAGGGGCCAAGGTTCGAGAGGCACAGAGGAGGGGCCTCCAACGATGGAAGTTGAGGCTGGGATTACATTCCAGACTGTGTGTAGAAGTGGTGACTGGAAGCTAAGGTGATATTTATGACCAACATTTTAGGCTCTCTTTGGAAAAGGGGGCGCCAATGCAAACCTGGCTATTTCCTACAGGCATGGGGCAATGTGGGGAAGGAGAGAGCTGGGTTTTGGTGGGTTCACGCTCAGCGAGAGGTGTGGCTGGAGAGGCATCCTGTTTACTATCATCCCAGAGATACTAGGCATCTGTTTCTTGAGGGAGATAAAAAGGCAGATGTCTAGGAGAAAAAATATTGTTATTACCTGTCTTGTTTGTATCACCGGAGATGAGTGTACCAGGCTGAGGAGAAGGTACGCCTTTTATTGTGGCATCTTGGAAAACCTGAGGGTGGAAAGACCTAGCTGCTAGACAGACCAAGTGTCCTGAGTGGGTGCTCATTTGAGCCTGGAGAGATGGTGCCAACATGGGTGTCCCAGGAGGTTGGCAGCAGAGGAGGTGGTGAGGATTGCTATGTGAGGTCCTGTCCATCAAGGTTCGAGAGACCTAGGAGTTAGCTGTTTGAGGAGTATTCTGCCCACGGGTAGAGAGGGTAGGTTTAGGGGCATTAGGGTCCACTGGTGTGGGGGCAGGTAGACAACTGTCAGTGTGGGAACGGAGTAAGGCTTCACGAGGTCTGGAAGAGCAGGAGCAGGGGCTGTTAGAAGGGCATCTCACAGTAGAGAGAAGTGGCGGCAGACAATGGCCAGGTGGGTGAGAGGCCACGGGGTCTCTCTGGCTGCCTGGTACAGAGACTTGGCTATAATGGCAAAGTTAGGGATCCTATAGTGAAAGAACCCTAAGCAGGCCCAAAAATGAGAGGAGTTGAGGCTATAAATCCCGCAGAGCCTGGACCCTGTCAGAGGTGATGGTGTAAGACACCGGGCTAAGTTGAACACCCAGATATACCACTGTAGGAGAGCACAGCTGAGCCCTGGTTGGGGAGACTTGATATCTCAGGGATCCAGGGAAGTTCAGGAGCATAGAGGTGATCTGTTGGGACAGAGACAATGTAGGACTGTAGAGAAGGAGATCATCCATACTGAAGGTGTGTGCTAGGACCTGAGTCAAAGTTTGAGAGATCTCAAGCCAGAGCTTGGCTGAAGAAATGGGAGCTGTCCCAAAAAACCCTATGGGAGAACAGTTCATGCAAGCTGGCTGGCTGTCTGGAGTACCGGGAGTCAGGGTCCTCCCAGGTGAAGGCAAAGAGGAAGTATGAGTCAGGGTGTAAAGGGGAACTAAAGAAGGCATCTTTTAGGTCCAGACAGTAAAGTGTGAGGTGGTAGGAGGGGCGTTAGACAGGAGATTGTATGGGTTGTTAACCAGTGGGTGAACTGGAATGACTGCTTCATTTATGAGGTGGAGATCTTGAACCAAGTGGTAAGCTCCAGGGGGCTTGCACATGGGAAGAATTGGAGTGTTGCAGGGTGAGTCGATAGGAATTAAAAGTCCTTGAAATAGGAGACAGTGATGATAGGCTTAAGGCCTCAGTGGTTTCAGGAATAGGAAACTGGGGTCTGGAAGGAAAGGACAAAGGGTCTTTAAGGAGAACTAGCACTGGCTGGTGGCGAGTAGCAACCACAGAAGTGGAAGCGTCCCATACTTGGGGATCTACTGGATCAGGGAGATTAGGGACAGGACAGTCTGGGGTGGGAACCTGTGAGGCCTTTAAAGTGAGAAGAAAGTGTGACTCAGGAGAATGTGTGGGGGCCCCAAAGCAGCTGAGAATATCTGGACCCAGGAGAGGAGCGGGGCAAGTGGGTACCACTAGGAAAGTATGAAGGAAGAATCACCCTGCAAGAATGCAGTGCAGTGCAAGGTTTTAAGTGGGAGGAACAGGTCCCGTCTACCCCCATAACTGAAATTGGTGAGGGGAACGTAAGGTCTAAGTTAAAACAGAGTAGGTGGCTCCCGTGTCCAAAAGAAAGTCAAGGGACTTTCCTCTACCTGTAACATGACCCTAGGCTCGGATTGGGTTATGGGAGTCACCAAGTCTGGGCAGCGTCAATCCTCTGCAAGGCTGAGAAATTCGCAGGCTGGCACAGTCTCACTTGCCAATATCAGTGAAGCTAGACCTCCGTGGCGTGACATAGAGGACGAGCCCCCACAGGGGCATTGTCATTTCCAGTATCCAGTTGCTGGCAGAAAGGGCATGGCCTCGTAGGAGGCCCAGGGCAATATCGTGCCAATTGGCCATTTAGACCACATTTAAAGCAGCCTGCTGGCAGGTTGACTTGGGCTAAACTCTGCCAGCATGGAGTCGTGGTTGACTTTCCTTGTCCCCCTTCCGGGAGTCCTGGTGGCTTCAGGGGATAAGGGCGTTTCTAACACATGGCCATTGGCCCGCGAAGGAAAAATAACCCCTCGGTGGGATTTCCAAGCTGTTAGGATTATTTCCTAACCAAGCTACTCCTCCAAAGCAAAATAATCCCAATCAAACAAAATCAGACCAAATTAAATGATATTCAGGTTTAATTAGACACCCGTACTCTCCCGGGTGGCCCCGAGGGCAACAGGAAGCTGCCCACATGACCACGGGAGAGGAAATGAGAAAACCACGTGTTTATTTTCTGGGGAGCAGTTGTGGGAGTGGTCTTGACCTTTCCTGGGGAGGAATCAAGATTTGGTGAGTTATTTTGACCCTTCTCTGGGAGAGGTCAAGGTTCAAGGGTCACTGTGATTACACTGACGATGGCAACAACAAAAAAAAAAAAAAAAAAAAAAAAAAAAACTGAGCAGCCCCAGAAGACAGATCAAATTACTACAGGGAAATACACTGGCTTCCAAGCCTACAGCCCCCACTCGGGGGACTGGAGTGAGTGAGTCAGGCTGCAGATGACAGACTGCTCGCCACACAGGTGGGTCTCAATCATGACTTTTCTCAAGGAATGGCAGGGACAGATCTTACTTAGGGTTGGTCATATTCCAAGTAGGGTGTATGAGAGCGTGCCCAAGAAATAAAACAAAGTTTGACTCTCAGAGAAAACTCCGCCTTTAGGATTTCACCTTATATCTCTGCGTGTTTTGTAAACTCCAGTTCTGCATCCCCAGCCCTGAACACCCATTGTTTAGTGTTCTCTTCATTTTCCATGTGTTTCCTGATTTTATGAATGAGTATTCAGCATCTTGGAGGAACATCCGAGACTCTGAAAAACTGGGACAATTGGTCCTCTGTGTGACAGCTGATTGGTTAGCTTTAAATGTTTGTTGTGTATTTAAGGGTCTATCACTGAGTATGTTTTCAATGCTCTGTGGTCTATCTTCTCTTAAATCCCCTAAGAATGAGGTAAATGTCACCGAGGAGCTGCGACTCTCTTATCAGCCTCTAATTCTGAGCCAGTAAGCCTTTTATCAGCTTTCTAGAATTATCTCAACCATAATTCACAGTTCTTGGAATTTCATAGTTCCAGGTGCTGGGGATAAGAGATGGTAGTGGGAAAGGCTCCCACCTGAGGGAGTATATAATCGAAGGTTTATACTGTTAGTTATGAGAAACAGCCCTGTCTCCTTCCAATTCAGAATTGGCCACAGGGTTCAGATGAACTCTACTGAGGGTCTTCAGTCATGGAGAACCTCGAGGTCAGAGACTCCCACTGATCCAGGCCTGTGCTGGGATCCAGAAAGAGCTTTGCCAAGGAGCTAAATCTCTCTGACTTTTCTTTATCAGAAGAAAGAGTTAAATGTTCACTGTGCCAACATCGAGACACCTCTTTGGCCCAGATCTCTGAGCATCCGCATGGATGATTTTCAAAAACTCTGTCTACCAGATGGCCACAGCTGAGAATTATGAGTCCACTTTATAGTGGTCTTTCCTGGTATTTAGTCATTCCAAAATAAACTAGCTCCAGCGGCCAGAAAGGAGGTTTTGGCGCACAGCAGTTGATAGCTGCCTCCTGCCTCGGCTCTCCTGCACACAAGGCATCTCGTCCAGGCTTTAGCATCACCAACAAACGCCATCACTTTCCTCATTTGAGTACTGAACAGTCAAAGGAGCAGCAGACTGATGTCCTAAATACCATGTTGATTCTCCCTGAAGGTTGAACCGGGGGCGTCCCTTAGGAAGGAGATCAAGGACGCCTGAAATGGGGTGCTGGCTTGGGGAGATTTCACATACCTGGGAGACTAGAGATGGCTGCACCCTGAAGAAGGGCTGAGAATTATTGTTCTCTGCAGACAGTGTTCCGGAGTTAGGAAGAAAAACAGAACACACTTATTCCCTACCGGGTTGTTCTTCTCCAGTGTCACCAGTTAGGCCAGTCAGTCCCCTCCCCCATCTCTGTGAGTAAAGGAGCCCCTGGTAGGTGGGAGGAGTTAAGAGTAACTGATTTCCCTCCGCTTGAAGAAAACATCACACATAAATATCCCCAGACTCCAGCTCACAATAAGAAGTGTCCATACCGCGCCAAGGTAAGAATAGAAACAGGTTTTTCAAAGCATAAGAAGGAAACCTGAAGCTAGGCTAACTCAGGTTGCGGGACTGTAGCGTACTCGGAAGGGAAAGCAGCCGAAGGGAGAGAACGGCAAGGAAGCCAGCGAGCTTCTTTAGGTGGAGAGACGATACCTCAGGCTGACTGAGAGGGGCAGCGATGAAAACTAAGTATAAAAGTAAGAAGGTCGGGGCTGGAATTTCTGATCAAGAGAAAGGCCAACTAGAATGGGGAAACGCAGCCTGGAGAAGAACGGGGAGTGGGCACTCGCGTAAGAAGAGGACCTATGTGGCCTCCACCAAAGAAGCCAGGGTTTTCACTAATTGGAACCCCTAGGGCTCCTGCTTGTCGTTGCCAATAAGGCTTAAAACTGGAAGAAACAGAAAGCCTTAGAGGTTGCCAGGAAGGAGTAAGCTTAAAGTGGTGTAAATGCATTCAGAAAGCAAAATACGACTGCTTAAAGCATTGGTTAAACATACAATCGTAATTTAATACATGAATGGAGTTTTCATGTCTATAAAATCCCAAATTCTGACTCTGTGTGTGTGTGTGTGTGTGTGTGTGTGTTCTTGTTTTGAAACCATTTGTTACCCTGTTTGTCTTAATTCCAGGGAAATTTCAGTTTCTGCCAGGACAAAGCTTTTAGACTTGCTTTGGTCGTGGTTCCAAGCCATAGTTGGCACTTGGCTGGCACTGAGAGCTGCTGTGGGGGATGCCCTGAGGGGGCAGAGGGGATGACAGCAGAGATCTTGGAAGGTGCTGACTGGGTGACAGGGTCTGGGGAACCCCTCAGGAGATAACTAAGTTTGGCCAAAATCTCGCAGTCTTCTAAGCCAGAAATTCAGAGAAAATTTTGAGACGCAAAGCATTACTTAAATTCTGCCTTCCATATCAGGCAAAGGGCACATTTTCAGTTTAGAGGCATTACGATTGCAGCTTGTAGCTGAGAAAAACTGAGAAAGAAAAATCAGTCCTTGCCGGGCGATGGTGGCGCACGCCTTTAATCCCAGCACTCGGGAGGCAGAGGCTGGCGGATCTCTGTGAGTTCGAGACCAGCCTGGTCTACAGAGCTAGTTCCAGGACAGGCTCCAAAGCCACAGAGAAACCCTGTCTCAAAAAACCAAAAAAAAAAAAGAAAAAGAAAAATCAGTCCTCAGAAGTCTTCTCCAACAGCCCTTGCCCTGCCTCTGAGAGCCCTCCTTTGGAATCTCCCCTTTACCCCATTTCTCCTCTTTATAACCGCCTCAGAGCTCAGCTGCACTCCACCTCAGATGAAGGTCAAAAGTCATCTTTCCTTGGCATTGCCATCTCTCTAGATGCTGAGCTGCGCTGGGCTCCCTGGGAAGCTGGAAAGTGAAAGCTTGCTGTGATCGGCTCTCCCGAACTGCACACACCACCAGAGAGGAGCAGTGAGGTCCTAAGCATACCTCTAGGCTTTCCTGTCCTTTCTGCTCCTGCCTTTCTCTGCCCCTGTTCTTTCTGGTCCCCAGTCCGACTGTGTCATCTGAGACTGTGCTCCTCTCCTCCACCCCAGGAAGGGACACCAGCCTCCTACCTGGAAGCCTCATTCCACTAGGGCAGCAAGATTTTCCTGACCTTTGGCATCAATCGTCTCCTGTGGGAACACTAGCAGCAGCCTCTGTCTTGAAGCCCAGCATGCCTGTGCTGGACAGGAGAATCTCAGTCTTGCCTGTTAGAAGTCAGAGACCAAGCATGGTGGAGAAGGAGGAGAACGTGATTTAAACACACACACACACACACACACACACACACACACACACACACCTGGTCACACACCCAAGGAAGCAGCCTGTAGTTCACAGATTCGATCAACAAACCTATCAAAGCACTTAAGTAGATAAAGCACAAGCTTAGATACTAAAATTTTAATGTGAGAAGGGACTTAGAACCCATCTGCCCATTCTTATTTAAAACAGGAGTAATCTTTGCTACGCTCCTGGCAGGCTTTGGGATAGAGGTGGATAGTCCCTCTTTGGACAGTTCCAGTTCTTAGGGGTGATTTTGCTATCACGGACTGACCTGCACATAGATCAGCCTATTCCTATCATCTGCAGATGAACTTTTGTTCCCCACAAAAAAATATATATTTTTTTTTAAATATTTACACGGCTCCTTCTAGCCTCTTCCCACAGGCAGCATGGGTGTCTCATGAGTCAACATTCCCTCACTCCTTACAAAGAACAATTTCTGGGCTCTTTGCCATTCCAGTTGCAACGCTGGAGACGTGAGCTATCTAGGACCCTAAAGAAGCAGGGTGACTGGGTCTGGAGGGAATGCCTCAAAGGTGGCTCATAAGATTGCTCCAGTGCACGAAGAGGCCTTTGCTGTCTCTGAGCTGCTTCTTCCTGTATTCCAGAAGACCCGGGCTGGGCCAGCTGAGGACTGTGACGTCAGCCAATTTGGCAGGTGTGACCTTTGTGACTTTGAGTAGCCCACTCCCTAACTGGTCTTGCTTTACTTGTGAATTGTCACACTTTCGTTATCAGGTTTTCATGGAAAGCATTAGCTTTCCAGCCTCATGGCAGATAGATAGGCTGTAGCCATATTTACTGCCACAACTCTATGGCATTTCAAGGTCCCTGCCAGCAAGTAAGTTGCAGCATTATGTCCACAGACAACACACAAGTCCTCTCTCTGTAGTCAGCCCTCCTGCTTCTGCCTCTGCCTCTGCCTCTGCCTCTGCCTCTGCCTCTGCCTCTGCCTCTGCCTCTGCCTCTGCCTCTGCCTCTGCCTCTGCCTCTGCCTCTGCCTCTGCCTCTGCCTCTGCCTCTGCCTCTGCCTCTGCCTCTGCCTCTGCCTCTGCCTCTGCCTAAACCCAGTTCAAGTGTTTTCTAAAGACACACAAAGCCCTTTGTGGAAGCACCAAGCGTTTCCCATCCTCTGAAAGCACATGGTTTCTCTCTCCAGTTACCAAACTCAGTTCCCACAGACTTCCACTCCATGCCAGCAACCAACTCAGTCCTGTCCTAACTGGGGGGGGGGGGGGGGGGGGGGGGGACTCTTGCCTTTGGTTTCCTTTCACTCTTCTGAGTTTTTTTTCTGTATCCATAAATGCAGCCACACAAGGCCCCTGTTTCATGACTCTAACATCGCATAGAAAGTCCCTTCTTCTCCCCTGAATGAACTCTGACCTCTCACCTACAGGTGATGTTACTCCCACGTGTCCTTGTCTTTATGGAGTGAATAAAGACAGAGAAGCAGAGGGTAAGGAGAAGAAAGGAGGTAACAGGATTGGAGACAACAAGGAGGGAGGGAGATGGGGGGAGGAAGAGAGAGGAAGGGAGGGAGGAGAGAGAGGCTGATTTTCTTAAAAGGAGATGTTTCTATGTCTCAAATGAGTTCTGCATTCAAAGCTACTATAGATCACCCTTAACCCTAAAGAGGCCCCAGCTTCCATGATCTTAGAAAGACAGTCTATAGGCTCTGTCTATATCTTATATTATGTAAAGATTGTCACTATCTTACTGCCGTACAAACAGGAATACTTTTTCAACATTTCCAAATGCATTTTTCCCTCAACTCAAAAAATCAGTGTCTTTGGCAGCTCGTTGTCTAGGGGTATGATTTTCACCTAGGGTGCTGGAGGTCCCAGGTTCAAATCCCGGACAAGCCCAATTTTTGAGTAGTCGATTTTGTTGGAAAAACAGAATCTTGATAAAACATAGCTGGGTGGTGGTGGCGCACGCCTTTAATCCCAGAACTTGGGAGGCAGAGGCAGGTAGATCTCTGTGAATTCGAGGCCAGCCTGGTCTACAAAAGCTAGTTCCAGGACAGGCACCAAAGCAACACAGAGAAACCCTGTCTCAAAAATAAAAAAATAATTATCTTGGTTTCTGAGGCTTGCCTTAGCCTCCCCCTCCCTCCTGCCCCCTAACTCCTCTTTCATCCCTTCTCATTCAAGATCATTCACCTGCTCCTTAAGCCCATTCTTCTAGAACAGTACAGATCTCCACCATCTCGTTCTGTCCTAAACCTGGTCAGATCCTATAGCATGACTTTAAACCTCTGCTGCTCTTCCCTAAATCATATTTTTAATCAGAAGATCCAACTAGGGAGGCTGGTTCCTGCTCATGACTGTCAGGTTGGCATCAAAACCTGGCCAGAGACAAGCAAGAGGTGAAACTGGCTAATCCCAGACCTGTCCTGTATCCACAAAGAAAGAGGGAAAAGCTCCCATTTGTATTCAGTTTTGGTTTTGGTCTCCCCTGTCCCTACCAGAGAGGCTTTCTTGTCTGATACACAAAAGAAAGAAGAAGAAAATAAAAAGAAAGAGAGAGAGAATAAAGCACCTGTAGAACAGGGCTGGGGAGAAGGAAAGAGGGTTGTTCTTTTAAAAAGCAAAGCTGGTAAACTAAAGGAGCCCTAGTTTCTGCTCTTCTCAGTTCTGTGGGCACAGAGGAGCCTGGGAAAGGGAGTAATCACCTTGATAAACTGACTCCTGCATCCTTATTAAACTGTGGAAGTGGACGCCTCTAACACTGGACACCCTGGAGAGGAAGCTCCAAGACATCAGACATAGGGGAATACAGAGGAGCCAGGCCTGAGCCCTTTGCCTCTCTAATCATGAGCTAAGCCACTCTGTCTCTGTTTGCCTGTGGTGTCCCAGGCTCATTTCTCCCATGAGAGAGTTTCTTTCACCTCTTCTTTCTGCTTCTGTTTCTGGCTGCTCTTCCTGCCTTGTGCTTCTTAGACAGATTCCTTGGGCCTCATCCTCTGGGTCCTGAGCTCAGAGAAATAGACCTGACCCTCTACATATAGTGAAAACTAGAATTAGCAAAATTACTAGAAGGATCTCTGTATATCAAACCAGGGACAGATTCGGTGCATTTTGAAGATATTCAAGGACAAACATTCAGGTTAAAACCTCAGCACAATTTATTCTCAGATGAAGATGACACCCAGAAGGCCCTTTATTCACACTGGCATCTCCAAGGAGAACAGTAATTCTTCCTGCTGGAATATCATTCATTGACCTAGAAAGATTTACTATTGCTTCGCTGGAAGTGCATTTGAACACAAATATTGCCTTGACGTCTTTTAAAGATTTTTTTTTAATTTCTGTGCTTTCCCTAGTAACTCAGCTTTTTTTCAAAAGAGCAAAGAGTTATTGAACTCGGTAAACAAAACCTCATTTACGTTGCCTTGACTGAGGAAGAAAACTCTCTGAAAGCTTTCATTCACACCCCGAATCACCACAGCCTCTTCAGTGATGTCCCCAGTGACTCTGGTTGCTCGGGCATTATATCAAAGAACACTACAAAGGTAAGAGAGACAGGCCGGGAGGTGGTGGTGCACGTCTTCAATCCCAGCACTTGGGAGACAGAGACAAGTGGCTATCTGAGTTCAGCTTGGCCTACGTACCAGGGCAGCCGGAGCTACACAGAGAGACCCTGTCTCAAGAAACCAGAAAGAAAAAAAGCAAGTAAAAGAGAGAGCTACCTACATTACAGGACTACAAAGCTTTCTATTTTCCCTTTTCTAATCCGTGCATATAATGATGTGAGAGAAGCTTCAATGCCCTCTTTTTAAGCTTCCTTTCATTTTATATTGCAAATACTTCATTATATAATATATAGTATCTTTACAAATGCCCCCCTCTGTTATAATAAAGTTTCCTGTTATCACCAGGACGGTTACAGAATGGTTTACTGGTTTGATGAACTTAGCTTAGCTCATGCTCTTCCGGTATCGGCCCTTCGGGCGCTTTTCAGACCATCTCTAAAACAGGCAGTGCTCCCGCAAACACCACGATACGTAATGCTGTGTCTCTTCGCTGCATTATTTCTTTAACAATTCCCGGGACAGAAATCTTCCCATCAAAACGTAAACCTTCAAGTGCGTCATCCCATCACTTCTCAAACAGACAATTTTCTTGTCCCTGGTCACTTCAACTCGACAGCACGGGTCCAGGGGACCTCTCTGTGTGACCTGTGCGAGAAACGCTTTCTCAGAAACGTGATGAAACTTTCAAAGCAAGGCCTGTACCCTTTGTTTCCGTCCTCTCTGTTTCCATCCGCTCCTCACCGATGTATGCTAATCGGGCTTAGAATTTATGCTTGGTGCATCCTTTCTGCTCGGCCTCTACCAGCATCAAGCTTCTCTACCTTCGCCAACTTGAGGAAAGAAACACCCAGCCCCTTTCATCATGGGCCAGACAGTTCTGACACTTCCGGAGCGGTCTCTTCTGATACTTGACTTTTCAATCAGCCTGTGCTTCTGCTCCACTTGGTATAAGCATATTCCTCTCCTGGGTCCAGTTGCCCTGAGGACGTTGTCCCCAACATCTTTCTGTGGAAACACTCTTTTCTGGCTGCTCCAGCTTCTTTGAGATCCAGTTCCTCTCCCTGTGCTCACTGTGCATGGTCTTCCTACCTAGAAAAAGTTGAGCCTTCCCCAAGGAAACTAGAAATTTTATAAAACATAAAGAAAGAAAGGTTTTGAGAAGAATATTAACCAGATTGCTATGTACCCCACTCCCCAAGAGAAATGTAAGGATTGTCTTCCTGTAGAAAAAAAATGGTGAACTTAAAAGTTGAGCTTTTGTTTAATTGATGTAAGTTCACTCACAGCCAAGGCGACCATCAGCCTCCTACAAGGAAAATTCCCCCTGACATCTCCAAAGATGATAAGAAGTCCTTTAAAGTGGGCAGCCATCAGCAATTGGCTAAAAGTATCATGAACACCCTGACTGAGACTCTCCCCGAGCTTTCCACCAGCATTGCCTAGCTGATAGTCATTGACAATGGGAAGGGTGTTGTGATGGGTGTACGTCTCACCCCAGGATGACCAGTCAAATGGGCAACAGCCCAAATGAATGTACTTGGGGATGATGCTGTATCGTGAACAATGCAGCAGTGAACTCGTGTTGATAGGGGTTTTCAGTCCCAAAGAAACACACAGAGGCCTTCATTAATTATAAACCGGTTCGCCTATTAGCTCAGGCTTCTCATTAACTGACTTTTACATCTTAAATTAACCCATAATTCTTGTCTGTGTTAGCCACGTGGCTTGGTACCTTTTTTCCGCTTTCCAGAATTCTCCTATTCTGGTCACCCCACCATACCTCTTGCCTGTCTGCTGACCAAACAGCATTTTATTAAACCAATGCAAGTGACAACTCTTTACAAGGTGCAAGACCATTGTCCCACAGTAAACTTGCAAACCTCCAGGCTGTTGCTACCAAAGAATAAGAGCAGAGAAGGAGGGCTGGAGAGATAGCTCAGCGGTTAAGAGCACTGACTGCTGTTCCAGAGGTCCTGAGCTCAACTCCCAGCAAGCACATGGTGGCTCACAGCCATCTATAATGAGATCTGGTGCCCGCTTCTGGCGTGCAGGCATACATATATAATAAATAAATAAATAAATAAATAAATAAATAAATAAATAAATAAATAAATGAGCATCCATAGATGGGATGTGTTCCTCTCACCACGAGCAGGCAAGGAAACTGTGCGCATGGAGGACAATCACATTAGCGGAGAGTCACACAAGAGTCAGGGGTAAAGTTGTGTTTTAACTCGTGCCCTGGGTTCCTCTCCTGTCACTGAGCCTAGGGGCTGGCTTTCCCGTTACAGAGGACGTGAGCTGTAGGATAATGACAGAAATTCTAGAAGGTAAATTATACAGAACATAAGCATAGTGAGCAAGGCTCCTGCCCTTGGCTCCTGCCCTTGCTCAGTAACGGTTAGCTATCACGATTAGCATAATATGTTATTAAATCAATAAACAAATTCTTACTCCTAATTAATTCATTTCCATCATAACACTAGCTACCATTCCCTGAGTTCTTCTGATTATCTGTCTCATTCAATTTCCACTTGTACCAGGTAAAATTGGACACCGGTTTTACAAGTTAAGAAACTGAGGTCCAGAAAGTTTAAAAAAAAAAAATTAAAAAAAAAGGAGAACTCAAAGCCCACCCCCACAATGACACACTTCCTCCAA